CTCAGAGGATCCACGGCGGACTCTGCTGGAGAAAGATGGGATTTTCTCCAGCTCCCAACAAATAGATTTTAATAAAAATGTTGTATGTGCACCTGAGTCCAAGAAACAGTCCAAGTTTCGATGATGATCCAGATCTAGAGCAGAACAAAGACCAGAGGCTGCAGACACACGCTGTGGCTTATTAAGAAACTTATAAAAATATTTTAAGGAAACTATTGCCAGAGGAGCACCTCATGCAAAAGAACAATTTATCAAACTTGGTAATGATCCAGATCATGTGCGAGTTTTAGCTAAAGGTATAATTCACAATATTGAGCAAAATCTGATTGGCAGAGGTAGGCGCTCTCAGAATGCTTTTTTGTTGCGCCTGTAATTACTAATTTTATTTGTTTTTTCTCCCCTAGGGTAACATTACAGAAAAAAACACCCTTAACAAGGTTGTCAGTGTCTGTGTCAAAATCAGTGAAATTGCTCAAACTCTCGAGGATCCTTATGAAAAGCAGCTCCTGAGGAGAGCTGAATTTATCCTGTCGTTCACACCCTTTACATCATCAGTTCCAGTTTCTTCCATCTGGTTCATTGTTCAGACTTTCACTAGCCACAACTAACCCATACAAATGCTGCTTTGTTCATTCTGCCATCTCCCTACTCAACTTCAGGACGAAATGGGAGCTTGCCTGTAGTGTGTTGATTAATTTTACTATTTTATTTTATACAGGTATGTTTCTATATTACGTAATTTTATGTATATTTTATATGTGTTTTATTTGCTTCATTTGATGCACAACCACAACACTGGGGTAAAATAAAGTGGTTGGTTGGTTGATTGACTCATTGAATAATTGAAATGTTGTGTGTGTATATAAACTGTAAACTATCTGAACACTAAACTGTAAGATAGACAGATGTCCTACTTTTATTTAAGTATGCGCATTTTGTTCATACACCACTTTTCACAGACCACCGTCACAGAAGAGTTCACAGTAAAACTAGAGTTAAAGGAGCATTGAGAAAAAACCTCATACCGACACTGAAATTGTCAAAGCAGCCTAGGGACCAATAACAACTGGTTAAAAAAGAGAATATCTTGTTTTTTCAAAGCATCATTATGTTAACCTTTCCTGTTCTGCTCCCAGACCATAGTTGGGAAGCACAGGGGAGAGTTTCCTCCAGGGCCGAAGTTGACTCGAACTTCAGGGCTAACCCCCTTCACTTTATCTGCAGCAGTTAGCGAACAACTCACACCGAGGCTCCACTTTGCCCTTGAGAAGTGACAGCCTTTATTTACCTAAAACTGTGACATATAAACTGTACATTCTCTGCTAATTCTCCCTTAACTTCTGCTAACCCTATGGAAGCAAATTGTTACCATATTTCAAATGAAAAAGCATTTTCAGAAATGCTTTTTCATTTTAAGAATGTAGCTACATTGTTTGACTCATAAATGAAATTAGTAATCAATATTCCTGTTTGCTTTTTAATTTTTTTCTTTAACACTGCTCATCCTTTTACTTAATTAAAATGAAAAAGAAAAAGACATTTGAGATTTATTTTTCAAAATGTACCCCAGCAAATACATTCCAAACTTCAATTTGAAATGTAAAATCTGAAAATGAAAAAGCATTTCTAGAAATGCTTTTTTCATTTTAAGAATGTGGCTGCATTATTTGACTCATAAATGAAATTAGTAATCAATCATCCTATTTGCATTTTCTTCTTTAAGACTGCACATTTTATGCCATAATCAAAGAGAAAACAAAGACATAAAACCACAAAACTGTATTGACACATTTGTAAATCTTTATATTACCTCTGCAGATGTTTAGGAGCTTTAGCCTCAGTTTACATGAGAATTTGTATTGCAAATTGGGGAGATTTTTGTTGAATGTGTTTATATTTCATAAGCTTTAGTCTAACTTAACTAAACATTCAGTAGAAATAGTTTTCTAAACCACACAGTGTTGTTGTGAAGGTTTACTAGATATATGAATATATTATATAACTAGAACCTGAAGTTATAGTTAATAGGTCCTTCAAATCAAAGGTGAAACTAATAAATTATCAGTTGGATGATTATAACTGTAATTTGCTCACTGACCAGAGTTTTAGCCTCTTACCTAAAAGGGTTAGACTCCTGTATTCAGCTAGTAAAAATTCAGTCGTCTTTCACTAATTTAGTAATTTAGACTATGGCTATCAGCAGGGTTATTAATCACCAACCAAATAAATGTGTCTCTGTTTGAATGCTACTGAAAGAAGAGTGAATCCAGCCTGAGTGATGAAATATTAAGAGAACATGGGTAAAAAAAATAGTAGTACCTTTATTAACTAATCAGAATCAGTTTCACAAATACTTTAATAATCCCAGAGGGAAATTACTTTTGTTACACGCTCCAGTTACAGTTTTATATAATATATACACACATCCAACTGTACAATATAATAAAGATATATACACATATAGCTCTTCTGTATATATATCTGTACGTATATCTATGCATATGTAAAAAATAAATCCAAATAAAGTGAAAATCCAAGTAAAGTGATACGTGACGTACAAAAATAGTGCATAAATGTGAATTACGGGGGTGGGGTGGGGGTGCTGAATCACTTGAGGGAGGTGTTATAGAGAGTGATGACCACAGGTAGGAATGATTTCCTGTGGCGCTCTGTGGTGCATCTGGGTAGGAGGAGTCTTCTGCTGAAGGAGCTCGTCTGCTGGACCAGACTGTCGTGGAGAGGATGTGAGTCATTGTCTAAGATGGACTGAAACCTGGACAGCATCCTCCTCTCTGCCACGGTGGTAATAATCACAAAGTATTATATCTACTTACTATGCAGGCATTAAACTCTACTGAGAATAATCACAAATAAAAAGGGGAAGAGGGGTTTAAGACTTTGCTCAAAGTCTGAGGGATGTTTCAGTTTTCATGCTTAATTCATTTGAAAGAATCATGTAAAAATAACAAGTAAAATGTGAATAAACTCTGACGCAGAGATGATAAATGCAGTCAAACAGTAGTGTTCCATTCAGTTTTATGGTAAGGAATGAATAATGACTCAGAAATGCAGTAAACTGTGATGAGGGTTAGCTTAGCGGGCTCCAGGGCATCTGGTCCGGATGGGACCTGCAGAAACAACAAAAATGGTTAGCTTATGATGCGCCCTCAACAACGTGTTCGGAATGAGGTAGCTGGAGGTACAAACCTAGCCAGTCCAATGTAGCAGTGTCTTTACGCCCACATGGCTCATTCAGTCTGTGCAGAGAGCATTAGCATTTAGTTAAACCTCTTAAAACCATCAGTGGTTGAATCAGAAAGCTTATTTCAAATAAAACACTAATACAA